ATATATATATATATATATATATATATATATAGTTATGCCTCTATCCACCTGACCATTTAAGCAGGATATGCAGAGTTTTATGAAGGAAAGAATACCTCTCATAGGACTGGATAAACAGAGTATGTAAAATTGTCTGTGCATCTCCCCGGGCCATTTCCGGGGCCGGAAGCAGTCACACCCCAGCACACTGATTCTCTCCTGTCTTCCTCACTCCCTACTAGTTAGCTTACAGGACTGGTGTTGCCTGTCCTGTCCTTGCAGCTTTGGTCAGGGACTCTGTGAGAAGTTAATCCAGATATTTCTCTACGGCTTGCCCTGTGCCGGGCATGAGAGAAGGATGGAAATGAGACAGGAACAAATGACTCTTTCTGCCCTCAGAGGCAATGTTTAAACTATTTAACTGCAACTCCGACACCTCCCAACACATGCTGGCCAGAGCAGGATCCATGGTGGCCCAGTGGTACTGTTGGTAGTGGGCAGTGACTGCTTAGTGGCTGGGGACCTGCAGGGAGTGGTCAGGTAATAGGGAGGGTGCTCAGAGCTGTGATTATTTATCAATCTGTAAGGAGGTATTTAGATATTTTCATCACTGTCCAGGGATTCAGGTGTGGGCTCTCTGATATCATACTTCCTGTTCTCAAAAAAAATCCCAGGGAAAGGTGGGAGACATCTGGCCTCTGAAAGAAGGCAAGGATAGGGATTTCCTCCTGGCCCCTGGTCAGCCCTGAGCCTGGTCTCTGTCCTTGGGTTTCTCTTGGCTGCTTTTCCATTGGACTCTCCGGGGATCCTGCTGAGCAGTCGGCAGTGGGTGAGGAGTCCTTGGTCTGTCATGCACCTGACAGTTTTCTGGGTGTGTGGTGGTCGAAAACAGAGGTCATCCAGAGAGACGGTGCCAGGCCTTGCATGACAGGGCGACCAGCAGGGTGGTGGGCATCAGATGTATGGGTGAGATGCCCTAGAATCTCCACGGCTTCCTTGCTTTCTCAGCTAAAAATATCTGGATGGCTATTCAGCTGGATAGACTGGAAGACGAAAGACAGGATCTTAGTGAAGAGCTTGTTTTCCTGCTTGGTTTGAGAATATCTGACTTTGAGTCCTCACCTGGGGCCAAGCAAGGTTCTGAAGGGAGAAACACTTCTCTCACAAGGTCTGTGGCTCACTGTCCTCACTGCTCGCTTCCCTTTCTTTCTCATGCTGGCCACAGTGGTGGCTGGTTTGGGCAGGAATGCAGGGAAGTGGGATCTAATTCTGACCACAGCCTGTATGCCATGGGTCGACCCACGTTCTGGAAGTGACCTCTGGTGGCTTCTGGCCCCTCTACTCCAAACCTATCACCCCACCCAGGTCCTGGCCCTTGTCCTGTAAGCAGCCAGTTTGGGGGGGAGAGAATGAAGGAAGCTGAGTCTCTACCCACCCAGGAGCACCTGAGGGCCCTACCCAGCACCCTGCCCAAGTATCCTTCCCAAGGACTCCTAGCCCCTGGCCTCCCCAGTCAGGGCTGTGGCTGTCTGTTTAGCGCTGCTGGTTTTATAAGCTAATGAGGGCAGAGTGTGAGCCATAGGCGACCATGCCAGGATATTAACTGTGACAGGAAGCTTGATCATAATTATCTTAACGAGGATAGGGTTAATTACAGTGGAAACTTAAAAGTTCTCTCTGAATCCACTGGAGCTGAATGCATTGTGATGGTTTGTCATTTTGATGTGACTTTGGGAAGGCACTGGGACTCTCCCGGTAGTGGCTGTGGCTCCTAGGGGAGCCCAGGCAGAGCCCTGCGAAGGAGGTGACCAAGATGGTACCTGTAGGTGAGATCACTGCACCTCTCACTGGTGCTGGCGGAGTGGGAGGCATGCGCCTGCAAGGAGCTCTGAGGTGCCAAGGAGGTTGCCAAACAAGCAAGCCAGCCACTGCCACCGAGTGTCCCCATTGGGTCCCTGCCTGCCCTTGGTGGCTCCTTGCCAGGCAAAGGAGCTCTCTCTCCAGCTGGCTTTGCCCAGTAGTGGGTGCAGCCTTGCCTGCCCCCTCCGGTTCTCCAGCCCCCACCCCAGCCTCCATGGACCCTGCCAGGGAAGCCAGTGAATAAGTCTTTGGTGACAGTCACCCCCTCCACAAGGGTTCTGATTTTGGGGTACACTTTGCCATCCACGCCCAAGGTTACAGCAGAGAAATTGCAGTGCCGTCTTGTCTTCCCTGGCAGCTTCCAGTGCCTTCCGGTTAAACAGCAGAGGGCTGTGTGGACCTGGAAAGCCTTTTCTGCCTTGTCATTATATTGAACAACACCTATCTATTGCAGGTATCTGGTATATAGGGGTATGAATTCCTAGATTGTTACAAATAATTTCTTTCTCCTATTCCTTCCTGGAAAACAACAATAACCAAAAATAATTTTAAGTGAAAAATCAAGCTGTCTTGCAGGTGTATGTTTATTGCCCCTGCATGCCGGCTGGACCCACAGATCATCCCTGCTCCTATCCTCCCCTCACCGTGTGCTCTGCTCCCTGCCTTCTGTCTCCTATCCCTTAGCTCTGAATTTAGCTGGTGAAATCACCAAAGGACATATGACACTGATAGCATGAAAGCAGAGGTTTATTAATTAGCAGCCCCCAGTCCCGTGAAACATGGTTCCCTTTTTATTTAGCCATTAATATTACCTGGCAAAACCAAATGGGTGCTGGGAGTGGAGGTGAATTTTGCTCACTCCTCTCTCAGGTCTCATTCCGGTGTGCAGCTCTGTCCTGAGCCTGCCCTGCAGGCAGGAGCGACTGTCTCAGTGGGACTGTGCACTAGTGTGCCTGGCTTTGTCCTTCTTCGTGCTGTGTCACTTTGTGTGTGTGTGTGTGTGTGTGTGCACGCGTGCATGTGTGTTGCCTCCCCTGAAGCACTCTTGGAAGGGAGGTTTCTTTTGCTTGCCAGTTGCCAATAGTTCGCTGTGGTTCATGATGAAAGTATAATATTTGCATAACATAACTCAGGAACAATGAATTTGGATGCTGCCTGTGAACAGAGCCCAGCTGATGTTTGTGCACAAAGGACTTTTTAGTGCCCATAAGGCTGCCCGACGGGAGGGAGGCGCCACCACTCCCCATGTGGCAAACAAGGGCCTGGTCCTGAGAAGCATTTTTTGACTAGTGAGCACCACTCACCAACCCGCATGGAGAAAGGGACTTCAGAAGACTGTGACCACCCCCTGCGTCTTCAGCACATCCCCAAGGTCAGAGACAGGGTAGGGGAATCAATGAAGGCGGGGAGGAAGGAAAGGGGAAAACCAGCATTTGCTTGCAACTGGTTAGTCCTGGGAGTCTCTCAGACCCCAAGAGCCAGAAGGAACCCAGATCTCTAGCAGGATGCCCGAATTCGCACTGCAAGACGGTGGAGCAGAGGGAAAGGCCCACGCCACTCTGCCCAGATGTGTGTAAGTTGTGTTTTGCTTCCCAGAACCATGAGGAAGAAGAGAAAGGAGAAGAGGAATAAGTGAAATCTGATCAGCCTTCGCCCAGAATGTGTACAGCCAGGCCCTTCCACTTGGGGCCAGGCAGTGGTGGCTGTGGAGCAGGCGCACTGTAATGCTGGGCCCTGGGTGGGACCACCCTGAGGTCTGTAGAAACTGGTGTGCAGGCAGAGCTGTGGGCCCAGGGAATCTGCAGATTTAATCACTCAGTGCACTTTACACCTTGCAAGTATGGGCTCCCTCTTTCCAAGGCCTCTTGGTGAGGTTCCACCCGGGAGCTATGGATGCCTTGGGAAAGTCCCAGGGCTAAAGTCCATGCCCTACCATACACACATGACACACGCAAGCACACGGGGCACAATGGAGATGCTATCAGTAAATGACTAGAGAGCTCACGGGACACCTTCCTGATTGGTCCCATTCTGTAGAGTAGCGAGGGATCCCATGCGTGCCAGCCCTCCCTCCGGTAATGCCCTAGCTCAGCTGTCAGCCTGTGCATGCCATTGTGCAGGACTGCCCTGCGTCCCAGCTGCCCAGCACTCCAAGAGCCCTTCCCACAAAGAGTTAACTTCTAGCTATGCGTCCGAACAACACCGTCTCCCCTCCTTTCTGATATATTTTTTCCCCTAAGCCCAGTACTTAATCCTTTCAGATGCCTTTTTTATTTACTGTCTCAACATCTACATTGCTACACTCTACAGTCTTTTTTTTTTTTCAAGACTAAAGTGAGAAATCTAGGTTCCATAAATTAAAACAGTAACTTCAGGCCAGGAGCTTTGAAGCAGAAATTCTCTCAGCCTTCTCCTCCCCCCAAACAAAACTAAAAACAAATAAAAAGAAATAATGAAAGGAAAAGAAACAAGCCCTCTCTGGCTGGAGTGATTATGTAATTCTGCAGATGCCTTGCCTGTTGGGCAGCCACAGAGACACTGGACAGAAGGAAATTAAGTGATTATTAAAGAAAAAAAGGCAGAGTGGATGAAAGAAAAAAAAGTCCAAGGATGTGAAAGGAGAGAAAAGAAGCTTTCCTGGCTCTTTCCTCTATGACTGTACAGAGGCGAACCGCTAAGAAATGATACTTGAAGTTATATTTATTATTGTAAGAGGGGTATGATATTTCTAGGCAGGAATGATGGATGACAACTTAAATTTGTGTCCAGGGAATGAAGGTGAAGTGTGACAGAGTTATTTATCTTGGGAATGGAGGTTAGGGTCAGCTGAGGCTGGGTGCCTGAAGGCACAAGACATTGACAAATTTATCCTGCAGGCCGTATCTGAAGCCCTTTGTTTGGGATCCTGGCTACTCACTAAGTGACCCTCATCCTTCATGTTGGCAATGCGTGAAGGATGCGGTGAGTGCCAGAGGCCCCTTCTCCCTTGCCGCCCCCACCCCCGGCTCCCGCTACTAATTCTTGTCATTCACTTTGCTGACAGGCACCAAGCCCAAACTATTCCCAGACCTGAAAGGGAAGGTTAAAATATTTATTTCGGCTCATAATGGCCTCCCTGATTTAGTGCAGGATCATTTTTCCTGTTGCCTTTGTCATTGCAGGTCACTGGAAGGACTGAGCGCATTCAGAAGCCTGGAGGAACTCATCTTGGACAACAATTTGCTCGGAGACGACCTCGTGTTGCCAGGGTTACCCCGGCTCCACACCTTAACCCTCAACAAGAACCAAATATCCTTTTCTCTGCTCGGCGCCCCCACTCTTGCCGCCCCCACTCCCTACTCAACCTTGCGGGGTCCCCTCCCACCACCACCACCCACCCCCGCCCCATACAAATACCTGCAAAACGTCAAATGAGTTTTATGTGTCAGCTAAATTAAAGTACGTGAAATACAGTCTGTGGGCAGACAAAGCGTTCTGTCTTCTGGCACTCGGGACACTTCAGAGTAATTTATTATAGGTCATTCATAAATGAAATGCACCATTATATCTTCCTGTTGCTCCATTTTAGTGTAGAGATCTAAGTTATGGCTGAAAGAAATCTTTTTAATAGATAAAAATAGAGAAAGAAAATAATGTCACTGCTGCCAGGGAGGCGAAGCTGGACCTGTTTCCTTGGGCTTGTGTGGGAGGGCGACCTCTGGTGGGAAGAAAGGGGTAGTGCCCGCCGCTAAGCAAGCTGGGCCTTGGAGGTTTCTGGAAGGTGCTGTTGCCGGCTTGGGGACAGTTCTGGAGAGGGACGGGAGCGCTGGAGTAGAAGAGAAGCATGCAGGCTGGTGATGAGTGGACTAGGGGAGCCACTCTAGGATGCAGCGTCCCCTAAATAGATGAGAACCTGTCTGCGGGGCACACTGGATTCTGTCGTGAGAAAAGGAATCAGGGGACCTTTCTTGTGGCATAAGGACTCTGCCACAGTTAAGAGTTATGGGTTGTCACTCTCTAGAATGCCAATTCTATGCGGCAGACGCTGCTGTCAGTCCACACGCACACATTGCCCAGCACAGGTCCATAAAACTTTGTAGGATGAAGGAAGGCATCGTTATCATCAGCTTTCATTATCGAACACTTCATAGACATCAGGCACCATGCTAATAGGTACTTTAAGTATTGTAGTTTTTGTGCTTACCAAGCCCTAGGAGAAGAGTGTAGTTTTTCTACTTACTTAGCCATGGAAAGAGAGGAGGTGTAGCCCCCATCAGACAGGGAACAAGATTCCAGGTCCCAGACTGGGTCTCACCTGTGGCTGTAGCCAAAGTGCTTTTCTTTCCATTGTGTGTGTGGTTCAGGCTTGAGGTCTAGTTGCCTTGTTTTATTGCTGAAACACTTGAGACGAGGAGTTGTTAAATCACTTTCTCACATTCATATATTACAAATGGAAAAGGGACCAGGGCATTTTCTCCTAGATTATAAATAAAGCAGATAAACATGTTCGATTTAACGTATATGTTTTTGTCAACATTTAAGAATGATTTTCAAAAGCTTTTATTAGTCACTATTTATACTTCAAGACATAAATGAATATTGTCTGCATCCTGTATTGTATTGGTTAACTCTTACTGACAGAATGCCAGAGACTGGGAAACATGGGTTCTTCCTAGTCTGGAGGTTGGAGGCCCGAGATCATGGGGCCAGCATAGTTGGGTTCTTGGTGATGGCTTTTCTTGTTGTATGTTCACATGGCAGAGACAGAGACACAGAGAGTTCTCTAGTGTGTCTTACAATGGCACTGATCCCATCATGTGGGCCCCACTCCTATGATCTAATAACTCCTGAAAGGTCTAGGGTTTCAACCTATAAATTTGGGAGCATTCAAACCTTAGTAATTACGCTTCTTGTGGCCATTAATAATGGATACTTTAAGAAAAATAGAAGAGGAAGGCTTGTAAGTAAATTCACAGCCTGTGTCATAATGGAATTTTTACCTCTTCTGTCTTTGATTAACCAAGTTTTCTAGACAGCATTTGAAAACATGATGTAGTCAGCGTGTCCTGTGGTTTCCTTGGCTGTTGTAGGTGGTAAGTTAGGCAGCATTCTCAAAGTAGTCAAGGACACAAGGTTCCTCACTTGGGCCCCTCTGTTCCTCACTTTGGGTCCTGTGTCCCATGTCACTGTACAATATTAGAGGTCATGGGTTGGGTTCATGCATCACCTTCCTCATGTCTAGCTGTGTGACCTTGGATAAGTCATCTTCTGGGGGTCTGTGCTCCTTATTTTTAAAGAAATAAATTGGGCTGAATGATGGTTTGTTTCATTCTCAGTATTGCTAACAGCAGAGCTGAGTAGGCCTGTTGGCTCCAGGGCACTGAGAAATTGTCTTTGTCTTTGGTTGAGTCCTTTCCCTGCTCCACACTTCCAACTTTTTTGATTTGTAGCATGAATGATGCTTGGGAGGGAGCAGTGATAATGGCCTGGAAAGGGGTGATGCAGGAGGAACTGTGTAGCTGTAAACCTGATCACCTATATTAGTGTTGTTAAAGTGAACTTTATTATGGATATAGCAGCCAAGGATTGGCTCTGTCAGGGTGCAACCTGACTTCTTTCTCTTGTACTTCACCACTGTACTAGTCTGATCATGCTGATCAGCTTCCCGATTTACTTGATCTAGAAGTTGCTGAATGAAAGATAGGTAAAAGCAGGCAATATTACCTGTTGTCCTATCAGCTTAATGCTTCCAACTCCAGCTTTTCAGCCCTGTTTCTTCTGCATCACTCTGAATAAAATACCCTGGGTTCTGCAGTAATGACCAGCTTCCTACCATGCTCCTGTTGCCACCCAGTGAAATGCCTTGGATGTGGGCTCTTTTAGTTAACTTTCACTCCCTAATAGACCATCCCAAAACACTGTGGCTTAAAACAATAAATACTTTTATTTTTCTACGGTTCTGTGTGTGCATTCATTGGCCAGAGCTCAGCTGGATGGCTCTTCTGCTGATCCCACCTTGGGTTGCACATGTGGCCACAGTTATCTGAAACTTGGCTGGAGCTGGATAGTCCAAGATGGCCTCCTCCAAGTGTCTGGAAGTTGGTGGTGATTGTTAGCTGAACTGCACATCTCTAGCAGGAGGCACAAGCCATATCCAGTGTGCAAGTGCTGTGGAAGTCCTACTCATATCGTGAAAGCAAGTCCAATACCAAATGCAGAGCACATATGGGGAGGGAACCACACCAGGTGTGGACGTAAAGAGACATAATTCAGTCCTATGGCACAGACCATGGCATCTGTCTTCTTAAGATTTCACTTCATTTTTGTTATAAATGGAACCCTAGAATCAAGAAACTAAAAGGGTATTAGCTCTTTCTTTTAAATTGAATCTTTCAATATATTAGAAATTTTTCTAACAAATTTTTATTTTGTATCAAGTTCTTTTGTGAAGTTTGTTTTCTTTTTAAATTTTTTGTCTTGCCATCTGTAGAGTGGCTATTCACCCTGCCTAGTTTATCTGCCTTGTAAATCTAGATTTTTTTTTCCTCTTTGGTTTTATTCACAGTTAAGTGTATCTGCACCAGAGCTGTGTGTGACTAGACTCTGGGAACATGGGTTATTGGCTTCTTTTATCCTTTTGGAAGAGAAAATATCACATAGTGGTTTAGCACAACAAGTTCTGAGGCCAGACTCCCTGGGTGCAGTCTGTCACTTGCTGCCTGACTTTGGACAAGTTTGGTTACATCTCTGTGTTTTCATTTCCTCTGCAAATTGGGATGATAATAGTGTCCTCCCCAGAGGGAGTTGTGAGGGCTATTCTAAATATCTCACCAATATGAGGTTCCAGTAATGTGAAGAGTACCATGTTAGTGTTAGTAGAGTGTTGTCATTACTATCCTAGAGAATTATGGGAATGAATCTGATGTGACTTGGGCTGAATTATAAGGACTTTTATAGTTTAACATTACTCTAATACCATTCTCTGAGCTGGGTACTATTGATGAATATTTCTTCTCATTTTTTGTGGAAAAGGTAGCAATGTATGTGCTTTTAGAAGTCATTTAGATTGTCAATGGTGAGGTTGAGTCTAGAACCCAGCTATGCTGACTTCTAGCCCCAGACTCTGAAACTTGAACGAGAGACAGCACTGCACAGGAGAGGGACTGAGATGTGGGAGGAGTTGCCGGTGCCTGCCCCAGCATGGCCCTGCTCCCAGCTGGGGCCTAGGGAGTCTGCTCATGAAAGAGATTCCACAGTCCAGACTCAGCAGCATCTGGCAAATTTCTTCAAAATTCACCGAGCAATGCCTCCCCTCCCATCTGCATGCCTCCTGCTTGGCCTCCCATCTTTGTTCTACCAGCCCTTTATTCTGCTTGTGTTCAGCCCTCAGCTTTGCTGTCCTGGCTTGAAATATCTGAAAACCCAGTTTTCCCAGATAACCTCTTCATCTTTTGCTTTTTTGTTAGCTCTCCCTTCTTCCTTTAGAGTAGCCAGGTAGTCACTGGTTGTGGACTTCACCTTCCCCCACCCCCACCATATTCTCATTCTCTCACCCACCATAAGCATGTGCTCATGAGGGGTAGGATATTTGGTAATGAACTCCACCATATTAATTCTGAATACTCAGCCCCAAGTATTGGACCAACTGAAAATTCCGGAAAGTATAGATATTTCACCTTTACACAATCAAATGATTCTCCACCTTCCCTGTTTGGGATAAGCTAACTTCATTTGAAATCACCCTTCTATTTACTTCTGTGTCCCTGTTGGCTTCAGCACATACTCTAAAGAGGCAATGACTTTGAACCATAGTATTAACAGGAAAAATAGTGTGTGTTGCCTGGTATCCAGGTGAGACCACAGCATGGAGTCAAGGGCTGAACTCTAGTTCTGACAACAGTTTACTGTTGTCTTGGGGATGTCTCTGTGTCTTGTCAAGATCTTCAGTTTCTTTATAAAATGTATAATATAATTACCACTTCAGAGTATGCTGGAAGACTTACATGGTGTAACACATGGGAAATAATTTTGTTAAGGCCAAAGACTTCACCATTTCTTTGTACATTTGACTGTTAGCTAAAACCTCAATGCTTTAAAAAATAAACCCAAATTGGAAGTATCTGAGGTACAGAGCACAGCTGGCTGACAACACATTATGGTCTGTCCCAGAAACATGTAAGACTCCTTCCACTTCAGTGTTTTAACTCCCTCCTCTTTTGGGTTAGGAAATTGGGAGTCATTTTTTTTCCCATAGTAATGCAGTTTCTTTAGGACCTAGATTTGAATCTAGACCTGCCACCTGTTGGCTC